AGGTTTGAACTAGTGATTTAAATCAACCTTTTCTTTGCTGATTTCAATTGACTTGATTTAACGCAATCCATCCTGGAAAATATTCTGAAAATGCTGAGCTTCTCCCACTTCTAAATCAAGCACCTTTGTGAGTAATGCTGCAGAGATATCAATTAAACTGTGAGTCTTTTTCTAGCATGCATTGAATGAATTATAAATCAAGTGTCCGTTTCTACTCCTACCATAAAGCTGCTTTCTCACAAAAAGGTGACAAACTTTTGCCCAGCCTGGGCAGGTGGGGATCTGAACAATTTCCCTGCACATGGGAAACTTAGATGAGTTTTAGGGTTTTCCCCTGAAATGCTAGTTTTCTATGTGCAAGGAACACCACTTGGTCTATGGAATATCAATTCTTCCATGTATACTCTGGTTCATCACATTTTGGGTTTATCATCTCATCAGCTGTTTGTGAGAACTAGAACCAAGTAGCCTTATTTATAGTCAGGAGACGTCGTCTTCATATAAAAGATTTCCGTCTCCTCGTTCACTTCCTATTTCCCACAGTTGAAGCAATTACAAATAAAGGCTCTTTGAGGCCCCTGAGCTTATAAATTAGGCAAAATAACACTCAGAGCATTAGCAAAGATGTTGCACTTGGAAGGAGGCAAAAAATCTGCCATTGAAAAAACCTGACGGCATACTATTAAATCAAAGTGGATAAAAATCCAGGGCAGGCAACAGTCATCCAAGACTGTTTCCAGTGTTGACCATCAAGTCACCTTTGGTTTAAGCCCAAATACATTTGAATGCAAAATCTGCATGTGCCAAGAACCATTGCATTGACCTTTGCAGCTAAAAAGGAACCTCTTGGTTAATTGCTGGTTCAGGGCACAGTGTGAGAAGTCATTGAATTATGTAGGGCATTTTGCATGGGCGTGAAAAGGGCTGGTGAGGGAGAAAAGGACCCATGCATTCAGTAATGTTTGCAACACTGTCTTCACCAGAGATGCTGGCAAAACCTCCTGGGTTTGGGTCTGATTTGTGGCCCCACATTTAAATATACACATGAATAGCTGGCTACATGCCATCATTCCACCTTAATAAACCCAGATTAGACACGATTAACTCTCTTGAGTCGTGAGTCTTACATGTATCCCAGTTTCCTCCTGCGTCTCCTTTCTGAAGGTCAAACTACAAATTCTGTTATTTGGGTGTAAGAACAGGTGGCCCCCATTCAAATAGGGAGGAAGGTAAATTGGGAGGTGGATCAGAAACTTTCAAGTTTGGTTAACTGCAGTTTCTATGTCAGCTGAACTGGCAAATTGTCCGACAACTCTCAGCAGTTCAGATATGAACTATGGTTAATTTAAAACAAGGAGAAGAACTGACTTTTATGGAACACACCTAGGTGAAGTTTATTCTTTCCAGTACTTCAAAGAAAGATAAGTGACCCTGACAAAGGAAAGTAGCATTTCCCAGGTCATAGATAAACACCTCAGATTTCCTATTTCCCTCCTACTGGTTGTTTTTTCCCCTATATGTTCTTTCCCCTCTTGTTTCATTATAGCTTAAAACAACTCAATTTGAACCCACAGTTTCTGAAGCTGGCTTTTGCAAATTAACCATAGCTTATGCTCAGCACAGTTCTGGGTTCAGGATATGGAACTCTCTGGTTAACCCAGAGCAGAAGCTTCCATTCCAACTTCCTCCTTCCAGCCACATGGGAGGAAAGCAGAGGAAGGAGTATGCACTGTGAGGGCCATTCACGCCTCGAAATACAGTCCAGAGTGACTTCTGAATTCAGTGACTGTGTCTGCAAGCCCCATGTTGCATTCAGGCAAAGGGAGAGATCAAGTTTTCCTCTTTCCAATTTGTCTGGGGCCAAAAAAAAGAAGAAAGAAAAAGTACAAGCAAAAACACCCAGGGGCAATGATAGAAAATGGCATGTACAAATCCAGCATTCTGTAAATTACTGCACGGCCTGAAGCAATGATGAACTGAGCACGGAAAAACACGCCAAGCCTCTCATTGGCGTGGTCCTCCTGGCTCAGTCTTTGTTGAAGTTAATCAATTTGACAGGCACCTTCGAACTCACACTTGGATAATCAATCGAGTAAATCAACATCCTTCTTGCCACAGCCACCATCCTGCTTGAAATCTGAGCGAAGCAGCCTTAAGAAGGAGGCTTGAAAGCATTGGCGGTGGCTAGCTGTCTACCACAAAAGTGTGACGGCGGAAGGCAGCTCATCAGTACAAATAATATAATCTTTCAAAGCACTAGCTTGGGGAGTCCGGTTGGATCCATTTTTGACTCTGCGTCTTTCTTACCTCGACCTACCAGGCTTCTGCTCGAATTTATAGAAAATGGTTTAGTACCTCTGGAAGACTTAATTTTATTTGGTTAGCTGCCATCAAAGCCTACACACAAGTAACATAACCTCTGTGTGAATCTTAAACCACAGTCATTCGACTCCCTTTGCTAAGGAAGTAACGTGCTATGCGGAAAGGAAGTTATAATGGTTTTTGGGAAGAAGTAAAAACACTTGTAATAGATGGGCAGCAGTGTAGTTATTACAGAAAGTAAAACTGTTCAGCAGATCCACATCATTGATTACATTACTGAAGCAAAACATCTCTGGCACTTTTACAGTGCCGTTAACCACCTCCGACGGCACAGTGGACACACTGCCAGGGCAGGAAAAAAATAAAATAAAGGACGAGCAGGTGCTACAGAATAAAATTAAGTAGGATTTCGTTCCATGGAGCTCAGCTGTTTTGTGGTCAACCGAAGCCGCGGTGCAAGTGGGGGTTTTAGGGTTTTTAATAGCAGCACACTGACTGATGGGAAGACTTCTGAACACCACTCACCTCCCCCAGAATTATCAGTTTCTTTGGTGTGGGGGCAAGTTTCATAACATGTGCAGATGCTTGACGCACAAATTGGCAAGGGGCTCCACGCTGGGCTGGGGAATGAGATGTTTAAGGGTCAGCGGGAGATAGATACTGATACTCTTTGAGGGCAAAGTGTCATCCTAGCATATGGCTGCTTGGAAAAAAATAAAACAGCAACCAAGAGTTAAACCTTCCACAGCACCTTACTGCTTGCGCATTCCCAGATTAGGGTACGAATGCATATGTTTCCCTTGATAACTTCTGGGGATGCCCATAAGGTAGCTACCCTGGCTGCAATTTCTCCTCTTCATAATGAGGGTAGTGGTGGGTACACATTAAAGGATGGATGCTGTGCTCGGTATCATTCCTAGATTGCATTTATATCCTGCCCTTTCCCCTCTTGTGGGGAACTCTAGTGACTTACCTAGTCTTCCTCCACTTCATTTTGTACTCACAGCAGTAGTGCCATGGAGTAGGTTAGGCTGAAATGCACGGCTGGCCCACAGTCCCTTGGGGAGCTCCATGGCTGAGAGGGAATTAGGGCCCGCATCTCCCAGGTCCCCCTGCCAGCACTCTGACCACCATGCTGCACTGGCTCTGCCTGACCCTCTTCCATATCTTCACCTATAACCCTCTGCTTTTGCCCCAGCAGCCAAGGTTCTTGCACATGGTTTAATCAGTTCATGTGGGGAGAACTTGCTAAAGGGATGACATTGTACTAGAAGAAATGGATGAAACACACCTTCCACTTGCTGCTTCAACCCTCAACATAGCCCATGTTTATTTATTTATTTTATTTTATTTAAAACATTTCTATGCCGCCCCCATCGCAACAAAGCCTCGGGGCGGCTCGCAAAGAATACATAAAACATACATAAATAATAATAATATAGTAATTAAAAGAAGAAACAACAACAACAACAACATTTAAAAACCTCCGGTGCATTCTCAGCTAAAAATTTTAAAATCCTAATTAATACAATAATTTAGCAATTAAAATAAGTTTTAAATAAAAAGGTCTTAGCCTGGCGCCGAAAAACAAATAACGACAGCGCCAGGCGGACCTCTCTGGGGAGCGCATTCCATAGATGGGGCACCACCGCAGAGAAAGCCCTCCTCCAAGTACTCACCCTCCTAATATCATTCACAGAGGGTTCCTGGAGAAGGGCATCCATTGCTGATCTCAAGGGGCGGGAGGGCATATATGGGCGCAAGCATTCCTTTAGATATCCTTTAGATATGTTGGCTCAGGCTGATGGGCACTATAAGCCAAAAGTTCTAAAGGTCTACAAGCTTCCCACATTAGTTCTGCCATTAGCCAAACAAGGTTTTGATCAGCCTGAGAATTGGGTACAGATGTAATAAACAAATACATTGGATGAGAGCCAGTGTGGTGTAGTGGTTAAGAGCATGGGACTGGGACTTAGAGGATCTGGGTTCTAGTCCCCACTCAGCCATGGAGCCCACTGGGTGACTTTGGGTCAGTCACAAACACTCAGCCCAACCTACCTCACAGGGTTGTTGTTGTGGGGATAAGATGGAAGAGGAGAAACAATGTAAGCTGCCCTGAGCCCTTTGTAGGAAAAAGGCAGGATATAAATCGCTATATATATATATATATATATATGAATGAATGAATGAATGAATGAATGAGTGAGCGAGCAATTGAACAAATAGTTACTGGATTCATTGTTAGTGAAACCCTAAGAGAGCAGCAGGGAACTCTTTCAGCTCAAGGTCCAAATTCAACTTGGGCAAAACTCTTGCAGGGGTGGGGGGGAGTGTAGGAAGGGACAAAGACAAAAGTGGTGGGGCCAAAAATGGACCCCCCCTAAAAACGAGAAACATTTAGTATAAAGCTCAATCTTGAGGAGAAGCATTTTAATCTTTTAGAATGGGGAGAACTGCACAAAAGAAAGGAGACCCCCAAATAATGACAAGGAGAAAGGGCATGGACATCTAGGAGGGTCTGAACTGGTCCCCAGGAATGAGGTCCTCCCACCCTGCCATAACACGTTCTCCCAGAGCACACCTATCCAGGATTAGATGCACACCTTAGAAACACCATGTGTGAACTGGCTTGAAACTTTTGTTAGGTCAAGGAAAATGATGTGTTCTGTATGAGGTACCTGAGTGCTTGCCACATTGGTTCCATCGGTGACTTCCACCGTCATGTTGTACACTGACCTCTGCTCAGCATCTAAAGGCTTTGCGATGACGATTGTCCCCACACCTTTGTCTGTGTCGAAGGAGCTCTCGAAATTTCCCCCTAGTTGTTTGTACAACGGAAAGTAGAATTACATCACTGGACTCTTTCTGGTGTCAAATCACACCTATCAACCAGGGTAAAGCAATTTGCAGAGAAGTGCTGCACACAACATGCCCTGCACATCGGACAGTCTTTGTTCTGAGCTCTTTTTCTCCTTTCAAGCATCATTTGTGTATTGTAAAATAGATGTCATAAAGGGAAAAAAGAAAACAGGAAAAAATAACCCATACCGCAGACAAAAGATTCAGCAACGCAGCCAAGCAAAGTATAATTGATTTCTCTAAAAGGCTTTACAAGGCTATTAACCTACAAAGACGTATGCCCTCGTTAGTACGAACAAGCATTTCTCCCCTTCATTAGATATTCATTTGGGACCAAGATTCAAGTGTTATTTGTGTGTCACTTCTGAGAAACTCACAGAATCGCCAGGGCAACTGGCACCATTTTTAAAGCATTGCGACTCTTTAATTAACAACCCATCTCCCAAAGAAATAGTGGCATCATTCTTTGTGGACACCTGCCTTATACCAGGCTGGACTACTTGCCCAACTAGCCAGAAGTACACTGGCTCTTTTCACCTGCAGCGGATCTTTGGGTGTCCGGGGATTTCACATCGGTGCATTATTTGATTCTTTTAAACTGGGGATTCTGGCGCTCCAACCTGGGAATTTATGTATGCGAAACATGTCCTATGTCACAGATCTGTGATCCTCCTCTTCCTGTTTATAACTGTTTTCCCAGTATAATCTTTAAAAGCAGCTGAATACTGTAAAAACTTATAGTAATTATATCTATGGTTTTTAGAATCCCTATCTAATACATATTCCAGTAAGTGAAACATGGCATCAGAGTTTTCATAGAACCACAAAAGAGCAGAGTTGGAAGGGGCCAGAGGGCCACTGGGTTCAAACCCCTGCTCAGTTCAGGCATCTAAGCTTAAACCATCCCTCTCAGATGGCTGTCCAGGTGGTTTTTCAGAAGGTTTGGTCACAGTATCTTCAAAGACAGTCTTTTATCCATACAAGAGCAAATTCCCAACGTTTTGTCACACTCTAATGCAGGAGTGTGGAACACACGGCCCCGCCGGGCTCATGCAGTCCCTCTGGCTTTTTTTGTAGCACCGCCAAAAAGTATCTCCATTGCCCATATTGCCATGGCAGCAAACTCAGGAGCAACATGTTTTTTTATGGTGGCAGCGTGATTTCTGGAGGGATGAAGGCAGAAGCTGCCTACTTCTGTTCTAATGTGACCACGTGATAAAGCTGGGATGCACAAGGAGGTCGGGCTTACGGAAACAGGGCTAGTTCACCGGCTGATCACTGGGAAAACAAAGCAGGTTCTTCTCCAGCAGTGACCCTTGGTGTATCGGATTACTTCCCTTTAGGGACCATAAAGAAAACTTTTGCAGGAGAGGATTTTGTAGGGAAGTCTGTGAGGCATTTCATCTATTGGACTTTCCAGTCACTGCTGTGATAGCCAGCATTGTGTAAGCATCGAAGTGCTGGATTTCAACCACTCAGAGACAAGTTCTTATCTTCCAAGTTGAGCATGCTGAATGGCTCAAACCACGTGTGCCCTTGGGCCTGTTAGCATCAGCCTAACATGCCCCACAGGATTAATATAAGGGCATGGAAAAGGAGAACATTTTATGTTCCCTCGTAGGGTTGGCCCCACCATTGGAAAGGTGAGGGAAACAGCTCAGGCAGCAGAAGCTTAGGGGCATGGTGCAGTGAGCAGTGTGGTGTTCAAAGACACACCTGTGGGGCTGCATAATCTGCCTTTTACACACCTATGTTAGTCCGCTGCCCTCAGGTGAGGTGGAAGAAACCACCCTGTCTCAGTGCTGATGAAAGTGGTGCTAATGAGGAAGGCCATGGGTTCCATTCTGACCAATGATCTGCCTGCCTTGTGAAGATAAGACCTGCCTTTGCCCCATATGGGAAGGGCTGACCTCACCAACAGGGTCTCCCCAGGGAAGGTGCAGGGGCAAGGTACGTTATTGTGCAAAAGTCACCGTACCAGCACAGCAGTCCCCAAAAGAAGCAAATCCTTCCCTCCTCATTCAGACATCACTCTCACAATGACAAAAAAAACCGCCAGTCACAGAGTTCAGTCATTTGCCTCTCAGGAAGCACTTGATCACCATCAACAGCAAATTATTTCTTTTTAAAATCATTTATATTTAAATTCATACCAACCTAGCTTTCTTGTTACCTTTTTACACAAATGCCTCACTGCCTTCGTTGTGCTTTGAAGCTTTTACCCTTTTGCTAAACTAAACATTTCTTCATTCCTTCAACTGTCCTCTACTTCCTTTGATTAAAAATAAGAATTTGGCATAGATGGGGGAACCTTCCCCGCTGTTATGACTGAACCACAAACCTGCTACTGAGTTAAATTGGCCATTATGCTGAGAGACACAACTGATAAAAATGGACCACATTTGCTCTGTTTGTCCCCTTTGCCTTCCAATGAAATAAATCTGTCATGATTGCAGTGTACCGAAGAGCTTCCTGAAGATGGGGAAAGTATGAGGGGCAGAGGTGGGCTAATGTTTTTTCTCCTGTTTCAACAGAAGAAACAGAAAAGATTAATAGTTGATACGTGCCCAATCCTGCACACAGCAGGATGTCTTCAATCCCCATGTCGGGCCCGGGGTCTTCACAACGCAGCTGGGAGGGCTCAGCATCCCTCTCAAAGAGCACACAGTGGGAAGACTTTTGAGTCCATTGATTAATTTCGGCTCTCCTTCCTCAGTGATTCTGTTGAACTGTTGTGTGCTGTGGAAAACCCTGACTACATTTTAAACCTATGGGATGCAGAGGCGAACACAGAATGGAAGGCTTTTTCTTTTGTTCTGAGGTAACTATTTACGGCAATTGTTCGACAGGGTAAACAATGCTAAAAGATAACTGCAGGCTTAACATAACAGCAACAAACGAACAAGTATTCCTGATTTACCGATCATCTGAGTCAAGCAAAAGGAGATCACAGAATGGCTTAAACTGAAGGAGGTTGACTGGTCTCTACCGAAGTCAACTCAACCCAACTGCCAGTGATTTTCCATTTTGTTTTGAGTTGTAAGCATCCTAGTGCCCACCTGATCATTCAGGGTAATTGTTTTCTCCTATATTGGCTCACTCAAGAGCTTGGAGCCCGAGTGGTCATTCTCAGCACTGGTGGAGCTGGTCTACCATGACCTGCAGATTACCCTCCTGTGCAACCAAGAAACGGGCCTTCTCCATGGTGATGCACACCTTGCAATATGCCACCCCCTTGTATTTAGGAGGAGCCACCTGTGGTCTCACCAGAGAATTTCAGAAGAAGATCAGTCTATAATTCATAGACTACAGCAAAGCCTTTGACTGTGCAGATCACGGGACACAATGCATGGTTCTGAAGGAAATAAATGAAGATGCCTCAGCCTTTGATTGACCTGATGTGTAACACGGACAAGAGGAATGTGGCAAAACAGAATGGTTTCCTATGGGCAAAGGCATCAGAGAAGGGTATGTTTTTCCTACCTATCTCTTCATTCTGTATGCGATACACATAATAAGAAAAGCTGGATTAGAATCAGAAGAAAGAGTGTGACAACTGGTAACAGACACATCGATAATTTAAGATATATAGAAGATACCATACTACTGGTAAAAAGCAGTAATGAACTGAAACAACACTCAACTGAATGTGAAGAGAAAGTGCAAAACCAGGCCTGCAGTTGGGCATTTGGGAAATAAAAATAATGACTGCAGAATAATCACAAAACTTTAATGTCAACAAGAAAGTAAATGAAATTGTGAACTGTTTTGCATACTTTGGCTTAGTCATCAATTTAAAGGGTGACTGCAGTCAAGACATTTGAAGAGGACTGAGACTTGAAGGGCAGCAATGAAAGAACTAGAAAAGGTCATCAAGTGTAAGCACATTTTACTAAGGACCAAGGTCAAGACCATCCACACAAATTTATTTCTAATCACTATGTACGGGTGTGAAAGCCAGACCGTGAAGAAAGCTGACAGGAAGCCAATTTATTTGTTTGGAATACAGTGCTTTGTGAATACCCTGGACTCACAGAAGGACAAATATGTGGGTCCTAGTTCTGATCAAGGCAGAGCTGTCCCTTCAAGCAAAAATAAGCTGTTGTACTTTGAGCACATCTTGAGAAGGCAAGACTCGCTGGAGACAACAATTACACTAGGGAAAGTTGAAGGCAGAAGAAGAAAAAGACCAACGACGAGATGGATTGATTCAACCAGGGAAGCCACAACCATCTGTTTCCAAGAGCTGGGCAGGGCTGTCAAGGACAGGGCTTCCATTCACAGGGTTGCTATGAGTCAGAAACATAACAACACCACCTGCGGTCTGTTATGACCCCTGCGTTCAGTGACAGCGCTTAAGCAGACACCTGCTTTTGTTGGGCACTTCAGCCACTGACAGCCACTAGAAAGAGCCGTAAAAGCAAAAAATGATGTTCCAGATCAGTGAGATTATCTAACTTCTCCCTGAAGCTTCGCTCACCTTGTTCTGGGCTGGGCAGCAATTTTAGGGACAGGAAAAGTTCATGTTTTGAAAGTATGCCCCAAGATGTGCACTCCCTCATAGGCTAAAGCATCAAAATGTGTGTGCACATGAATGTGTGCTTTTAAAGGCACATTTCTGAAGTGGGATGAAAATACAAGTTTGGGAAAATGCAAGATTTCCCTTAAACAACAAAACCGAAGCTTGCATTCATGTACCACAATGCAAAAAGGGTAGATGCAAATAAAAAAAAATCTGAAGTGATATTCTTGTACATCCCGATCCATAAATCAATTTTTAATACATCTCTCAGAGATTTTTCCTTGTATACTACTCTGCATGGGACAAGGCAGGGGAAATGGGAAATGAGAAGTTTCCATTTCTGTTCACACTGGGCTGGGGGGAGGGGTGGGAGATCATTTCTGAGGGACCAGCTCACGGGTGAGTCCTTAACTGAATTCAAAATACCATCACCATCA